AGAGAGTTTCCAAGTCCAGCCTCTGTAGTTTGAGCAGCATTGTTTGTGCAACATGTAGTCGAGCATTGTCTTGTAGGAGGTTTGGCCAGTCTCAATTGACCAGTCTTGACTGCTTTATAGAAAGCATCCTCATCATTTCATCCAGTTGGTTGCAGTAGACACCCACTGTAATTGATTGACCAGGTTTCATGAAGCCGTAGTGGATAATACCAGAACTGGACCACCAAACAGACACCACTAGCTTTTTTGGATGAACATTCAGTTTTGGACTGTGTTTCAGCACTTCGTCTTTATGTAACCATTGTGCTGAACACTTGCATTTGTCTGAAAGAATCCATTTTTCGTCACGTGTAACAATACGGTGTAGAAATCGTTCGCCTTTATGTCATGACAAAGAAAGGCAAGCTTTCTGTAATCCTAGCACTCTGGGAGGCCGAGGCGGGCGGATCGTTTGAGCTCAGGAGTTCGAAACCAGCCTGAGCAAGAGCGAGACCCTGTCTCTACTAAAAATAGAAAGAAATTAATCGGACAACTAAAAATACATAGAAAAAATTAGCTGGGCATGGTGGCACATGCCTGTAGTCCCAGCTATTTGGGAGGCTGAGGCAGAAGGACTGCTTGAGCCCAGGAGTTTGAGATTGCTGTGAGCTAGGCTGACGGCACGGCACTCTAGCCCAGGCAACACAGTGAGACTCTGTCTCAAAAAAAAAAAAAAAAAAAGAAAGGCAAGCTTCGAGCTGATTTCTCTTCTGACACTCATTTAATTCATGTGGAACCCATCTAGCCAGCTTGTTTACCTTGCCCATTTGTTTCAAATGGTCCAATATTGTTGGGATAGTAATGTCAAACCTTGCTGCTAATTCACGTGTAAGTTGAGATGGATTCGCTTCCAATACAGCTTTCAGCTCATCACTATCCACCTTGGTCTCAGGTTGCCCATGTAACTCATTTTCAAGATTAAAATCACCAGGACAGAACTTCTCAAACCATCCACATACTGTGCTTTCATTAGCCACATCCTTCCCAAACACTTCACTGATACTTGGAGAGCTGTCTGCGCTGCATTGGTTTCACGACAGAACTCATATTCGAAAATAACACGAATTTTTGACACATCCATGGTTTCATAAAAATTGCTCTACAAAAAAATGTGAAGGATAATCACAAGACAAAACATGCATTTGCAAGACTGAGGATGAACCTTCACAATAAAAATAAAATAAGAAGTGTCAAAGTGAAATGTCAGATAGCAACTGTGAAACTTGGTACTTAAGGAAATTGGACATTTCATACTTAATAACCTAATACACTGTGGAATACCAGTGATGAAAGCAGGCATCTTGTCTTGTTCCTGATCTTAGGGGAGAGATTTCAGGTCTCTACCATTGCATGTAGTGTTAGCTGTGGGTTTTTCATAAATTCCCTTAATCACGTTGAGAAAGTTCCCTTCTTTTCCTAGTTTTCTGAATATTTATATTATCCTGAAATGCTGTTGGTTCCTTTCAAATGCTTTCTCTGCATCATTTGAGATAATCATGTGGGGTTTACCCCTTCATTCCTTTAATGTGCTGTGTGACATGGATTGATTTTTGTACATTGAGCCAGCCTCATATTCCTGGGATAAATCCCACTTGATCCTGGTGTATAATCCTTTTAATATTCTTTCGGAGTCGGTCTGCTATTGTTTTGCTGAGGATTTCTGCATCTATATTCATAAGGAAGAGTGGTCTATCATTTCCTTTTGTAGTGGTATCTTTGTCTGGTTCTGGTATCAATATAATGCTGGTCCCACAGAATGAGTTAAGAAGTACTCTTACCTCTTTTATTTTTTGGAAGAGCTTGAGAAGAATTGGTGTTAATTCTTCTTTAACTAGTAGAATTCACAAATGAAGCCATGTGGTCCTGGACTTTTCTTTGTTGGGAGGTTTTTGGTTACTGATTCAATCTTCTTGTTATAAATCTGTGTAGAATTTTTTTTTTGAGTCAGTTTT